GACTCTTCACTCTAGCATCCAGTGCCTCTGATGACTCAGGGAGTATCCCGCCCCAAGACAGAGCACCCCAACACTTCTGCATAGGCTTTACTTGTCAGTGGGCCCTTGTCACAGGCTGCCATATATGGTTATTTGTCTTTATGTTCTGTTTCCTCCCAAATAGACCACAAGTGAACTGAAGTCAAGAACTATTATAATGTCTTTGGATCTGACCTGCCTCTGATTTTTGACACTGGGCTCAATAATTTCCTGAGACAATAGTGATGACCTATAATTCACAAGAATTTGTGAGTTATCAACTATGCACTGAGCCATGTACTACTATTCTAAGATGAAGAGATTACTGAATTATCCAACAAATATTTACACTTATCATGAATGTGCCCTGGCTGGCACATTCATAAGTTTATTTTTACATGCCTCTCGGAAAGAAGTGGGAATATCCAAGGAACTGAGAAGAAACTGAAATTTTATGCCAAAATCTGAATCTGTTCTTACACTTAACATAGAAAACTTCATTTAAACATAAAGCCAGCTTTCAATTACTTTGCCTACTTTAGTTAAAATATATAGAACATACTGTACATATAATCATTACAGCTCAGAAAATAAAATTCAAACAAAACTCCACATGTATCAAGTCATGTATGCAAAAATTAGTATTTATATAATTTCATTTGAAGCAAAAGGCATGCTTCTTACAACTGAAAATGACCAATTAAGAAAAATCTGCATTTATTATTGATCCCTATGTAAGTTACACAGAGAACCAATTTAAAAATAATCACGAGAAAAAATAATCAAGAAATCTTACAAAAATGGAAGAATTGTAAATAACATTAGAAGAACATACTTAACTGTACATTAAATATGCCCTGGAGTGTTAGTGTATGCATGGAGGGAAAACTAAAGAACACACAACAGACTGTTCCTGACTGTTATCTCCAGGAAATGAAGTGGGGTTTCATTTCATTTCTGAGCTGTACTTACCTGTGTGTGTGAGTGTATACTCATAAGCACTTTTTGTAAGCAACGAGCTCTTGTGTAATCAGAAAAAAAATAAGTTTTTTTTCTTTTAAGAACACTTTTATGGGATTATTTGAAAGGCAGGGTCTGTTTATCATTAAGTCTGTATCCACAGCACCAAGCACAATGCCTGGCACAGAACAGATAAGAAGGCACTGGACACATGGGTCCAATATCAGCTCCAGAGCTCTTGGGGCAATTTTATCAGTTCTCCTTGGTATATGTAATAGTGCTCTGCAAGTGAAAAAGCTTCGGAAGAAAGCTGGGATTGTACATTTTGCTATGAATACATCTCCTCTTGGCTGCCATTTCTTTTGTGTTGCTCTTAATCTTACTTCACATATCAGCAACATTTTGTATGTTTGATATCTTCCTTCCCTCATACACTTTTTTCACTCAGCTTCCAGGACCCTCCACTCACAGTTAAGAGCGCTGCTGGCACCTCAAAATCCAAATCACCTTCAATAAGGATGACCTTGACTGCTTATTTAAAAGTGTTACCCTTCCCAATCTCTCACCAGTACTCCCTAACTCCTCATCCTGTTCTTGTTCTTTTTTCCAAAGTATTTATCATACTCTAACATAAAATTATATTTACTTTTATGGGGTTTTGTCTTCTCCCTCTAGAACGTAAGCTCCATTAAGACCAGGTTCTCTGTGACTGGTGAGTGTACATTCAACAAATAAATGGACTTTACGTGACACAGAAGATAAACACTAACAGACAGCATCTCCCAAGTTCACTTCTGTAACTACACATGGGAGGAAGGGGCTCAGTCATCTAGGGTGAGGAGCAAGAGGGGATGGGGATTTAAACGTCTTCCTATCATCAGCTTCACACTTTCAGTTATCAGGTTCTGTTACCAGCTTTCTGGGCCACATCTCAGTCTGTCCTTAGCAACTATCCTACCCTCTTTCTCTAAGTAAGTTATTGGCATTCTGAATTTAGAACTTCTGAACATCTGAACATTCTGACTTAGAAATACTTTTCATGACTGTAAAATACACTGCTTCTGCAGACTAAATCCAAATCTAAAAATTGACTACTCTTAATCCAGAATCTATCAACAAAGCCAAGGTCTTCTGAGGTTGGGATATTTTAGCAGAAGATGATACTAAAAGAATGAAAACATTATTAGGACTATCTGTTAGGAATCAGGTGATAACTACAACCTAATAATGTAAGGTCATCTACCAGATGATTAACACTGAAGAATGTAGGTCAGCTACTGGGTAAAATCCAGAAGCCACTTACACAATCTGAAGGCAACAGCACATGACATTCCTCACTTCCTGAACTGAGTCTTAGAACTACTTTATGGCTCCGTAAACAGGTGCCAAATTATTCCACAGATGGTAAAGGTTTCATTAATGTAGGACTTCATCATCATGGCCAAACCACAGCCAGTACTAATAAACAAATCTATTTACTCTAAAAGAATAAGTAATTTTTCTACTTTGACAAGTAAGAGGTGCTGTGGACTTTTTCATTTGTTTTTTCATCCTAGTTGGAGGAAATTTACTATAGTAAATTCTTCAGAGTGACAAAGCTTGGAAATTCTTCAATACTGGCATCTACTTCTTCATTCAACAAACGCTATCAAGTGTCTACAGTGGTTATTGTAGGTAACTGGGAACTGGGATACTGGGAACAAGACAGGTCCCTCCCTCCGTGAGTACAGCTAAAGGGAGAAGAGAGATGTTGATAAAGTAACAAGTGAGGTGAGTGACACAAAGGGGTGCAGAGGGCCACAGAGGAGTCAGGAACATGGGGGTGCAAGGTTGAAGACAATGATGAAAGAAAGTTTCTCTAAGCAAGTACTGTTTAAGGAGAGAAATCATGAATGAGCAGCAGCTAGTGAGGTGAAAAGAGGCAAGAAGTGGTGACATGGCAGAGGAAGCAGCATGTGCAAAGGCCCTGAAGGAGGAAAGGACTTACATGGCTGAGAATCAGAAAAAGATGGTAGGGCAAACCCAAGACTGAGGAGAAAGACACAAGCCAGATTGTTTAGGACCCAGAGTCATGCTAAGAACTTTGGACTCCAGTTTCTGGGCAACAGGAAACCTTTGAAAGGTTTTAAGGAGAGGAGTTGACAGGTTGTTTTCTGTTTTTAAAATATCAACCCAGGTTTAATTTAGAGAAATGGGCAAGAATGAACTGAGGGGCCAGTTTAACAGAAATCCAAGAACTCTTCCTTGGAGGATCGTAGTAGTGCTTAGGATGGACAGAAATGGGCATAATCAAAAGAATATTGAGAAAATACAACTAGTAAGACTTCGTGACTGATTCGATTTAGAGAGTGAAAAAAAAGTATGTGTCAAGGATTTCCATTTTGACCAAACAGCTCTAGAATGAAGGCCTCTGCACAAATTTTAACAAATTAACAGGTTTGTGCAGGAAAGTCACCCAAAATGTGTCAACAAAATTAGTAATTGGTTTTTCATGATGGATTTTAAATCTTAAAGCTTTTTAGTTTACTCTAGAAACCCTGTTGTAAATGAAATAACTTACAGAGAATCCTTTTAACTGAATGATTTTAAGTACTTTTAAATAATATTCTATCACTAGATAGACATACAGACATTAGAAATAATTATTAAGCTATCACATTGACATTTTTGGATTTAACTTGAGTTGTCTAACTGCATGACTTTGAGCTTAACATTTAACTTCTCTAAGCCTTACTTCTATGAACTCATTAAAATTTAAAAAACCTGGAAATTAAGACTTAAGATTCTGCTCTCTACATATGACTGATGTTTACATGTCAGGCACTGCTATATCCTAGGTTCAAGGAATGTATGCATGGTTGACCAATGCCTTTTTTTCACCTCCCTTGTCTGGACAGTTCTTTACCAGCCACTACAATTCAAAATTTCTTCTCTTAAAAATGTTCATGAAATTAGGTAGCAAACTGACTTTCTCCCCCAGAGTAACTCCTCACATACCTGGGTATGCTGATGTGCAGAACTCCATTAGAGCCTTCTTTAAAAAAAGCATAATGAGAGAGAGCCATGTAAATCATTTACAGTTCATTAAGTACCCTACCTTGGAATACTACTCTTCTGTCAAAACCTCGTTCCCATCAGAAAATCGTATTTGGGTGCCATTTTTGAGTTACACCTGCTCTGGAATATCACCCACTTATAGGAAAATAAATTTCCATTAACTGTAGTATTATCGTCCTTAATTCCCTAATGTTAAGTCCAGTTTCAGGTAAGCCAAAATTACCTAGGTCCAGCCATCCAAGGGCACCATTAAATCAGTTCACTGTAAAAATTCATCATTTCAAAAAAAATGTAGGAGAGCAAAAAAAAAAACAAAAAACCGTACCCAAAAATAAAACAAACCGACAAAGGAAACCCAGAAAATTCAAATCCATCCCTACTGTGTGCTTCCCGCCTTGTTTCAATCTCTGGACATTCGTTCCACAACAGAAAAGACCAGAATAATGACAAATAAACAACAGCAGCACCATTATCACTTTGAATTTTAAGAGGAAAAAGGCACATCACTACAGTCTGCTTTCTCGCTACCCAAAAAGCCCTGCCCAAGGACACATTCTCCGCCTGGAGGAGAGGTCTCCTCTCTTCTCACGCATGAGAGGGACTGAAATGTTCCCAGGTTATAAAAGAGAAAAAGGGCCGAAGCAAAGACGAAGCTGGGAAGGGCAAGGCTTCACGGCGGGAATCCAGACCCAGGGGGGTAAAGTCCAGAAGAAAACGGAGAAGGAAGAGCCCGGAAAGATCTGAGGAGGAAAAAGAAAATACGGGCTCCTGACAAAGTCTGGCAGGGGAGAGAGGAGAATACAGAAACAGTTCTGGTGTCAAGGCACGGTGGAATCAAATCCTGGGCGGTGTGCGCAGAATATGCGGAGGACTCGGGATGCGTAGAGCTGCTGCTGAGGTCCAAGAGAGGAAAGGGGAGACAGCACAGTCCCCTGGGTCTTGGGAGGGTGGCAGGGGATCCTCACCTTAGTTTTGGTCCGGGAGGCCTTTGCCTTGGCCCGGCGCTGGGGTCTCACCGCCTCGGCCATAGCGCCTGCAGCGGCGCCGTCGCGGTTTGTTTATGTCAAACCCCTGCACCTCCCACAACCTGCCTGGTACCGAACTCATCATATGACGGGCGCTCCACCACTCCCCGGGAAGGGGCGGCAACTCGGAGCCTCTACGGGCTGCAACGTAGGACAAAGCACTCTGAGAGGCCTTTCACTGGAGGATGGTGGTCCTGCCCCCTTTGCCCAGCCCCGCCCCTGGCCTGAGCACTGGCCCTCCAGGCCCCGCCCTGCGTGCCGGTTTCCTGAGGTTGTTCCGGTTACAGCTGCTGCTCTAGGCCGACAGGTCACTACCCTCTCTCCGGTCCGACTGAGCCGTACTCAGTCTGGAACCCGCCTGCGGACACCTCACCTTCCGTTTCCTTAAAAGAGCCTAGAGAGAGATGCTTGTCAATCGTGTTTTGAACTTTAGTTAACCAAATCCAGTCAGTTAGCTGAACTCTCTGCTTTGGGCATTAGGAAAGAACCTTGATACCCATGGAGACGGGCATTTCAGTTTCCTTTTTTGTAAAGGGAAATGTAGGGACCGAGGGCAGGCTGCCCAAGATGTACCACTGTGACCTGCAGATTATTTTGAGTTGAAAAACCAGCAAGGCCCAAAAGACTCAGGAGGATCCTTTTGACCTTCTACCACCACCCCCCAGGACTGCGTAAAAATAATTTAGACAGGAACTACTCCAGGAGGAGAGCTGTCACCACAGACAGCTATACTATAATGTGAACTAGGTGTGGTGGACGGGGAGGGATGTGGCTACATTGGTTAAAATTTCTGTGCTCCCTAGTTTCTGTGCTGCCCCACCAAGTGTTTTATCACACATTTTTACTCTTCACATTCCTGTGAATCATTTACCTTTTTCTTTGAAGTCTCAGACCCCCAGCCTTTCTCCTAATTCAGGATGATATGCATACCTCATTCTCTTCGACTGTCTTTGGAACCCATGTCTAGGTTTCCCCATAGGTAGGTAATTACATTTGGTTTTTTTCTCCTGTTAATCTGTCTTATGTCAGTTTGATTCTTAAGCCAGCTAGAAGAACCTCCAAGGGTAGAGGAATTATCTTCCTCCCCAACAGGAAAGATGATATTGCCTTTTCCAGTGTAGTAAAGATTAGATAAGCCAATCATGAAAAGTACTTCATAGTGTTGTCAACAATCCAAACCGTGGAGATCTCCCTGCGCACTAGGTGAGACCACAGCCAGTGGGAGGGTTCTTGACTCTGATCAAGAAAGAATTCATAAGCAGGTACAAGAAAAAGGCAGTTCAAAAAAGCAGAGTACACACTAGAAGGGAATGCAGGCATCCTCCAGAGATGAGCAGCATGGTGGGTATTGGGTTGGGTGGTCTTATAGCTGGAGTTTAAGATGGGATGGAATATTGATCAGGTTAGGTGGGGTTTTCTCAGAATAGAGAGGGGATTTCTGGGAAAATAGGGTGACACCCTCTTTTTTTCCTTAGATGATCTTCCTCAGAACTGTCATGCTGCCAAGGGGCATGACTTTTAGTATGCTAATGAGTATATAATGTACTTAGAAGTGAAGTCGGGGTCAATTTCTCCTCCATGCTGGAATTAGTTTTGGCAGGCCTGATATCTATACCCTTCATCTTTACATCCCACAACAACAGTTTAGACAGGATGTTTAGAATATAAACAATCATCTAATTGAATGTAAATACTGGCAAAATTCCCCAACCCTCTCCCTGCTCATGGCTGGCTATCCACCTACTGTAACAGTAGTGACAAGCATGTTAGTAAATGGTAGTTTTTGTCATTGCTATACATATCCCAGGCAGGAAAGAGATGTCTGAGTTGAAAAGGACAGACAAAAAAGAAATGACATGTAAGACCCATAAAAGTATTCTTAGTATAGATTTTATAGACCTTGCTTCATTTAAAAATTCCAGATGTGAAAAACTTGGCACAACAACCTTTCCCAGCTCTGCAATTTCTTTTACCCAAAGCCTTTAGTGCCTCTTAAAATATAATTTCTTTTTATGTCTGGCATCTCACCTAGAATGTAAGATCCTCAAGGGCAGGGTTCCATGTATTGTTCCCTGATGTATCCCAAGGGCCTCTAGAAAACTGGCCAGCTGCATAGTAGATGCTCAGTAGATAAGAGGTGAATGGAACAAATGAATATGAGTTGTTTTGTCTGCTTGTGGGTGTAACCCGTAGGTGGGGGGGGAATATTTTCCCAGCCCAGGGCAAAATACCTTTGAAATTGAAATCAGTCAAAGGGAGAAATAAAGTGGGAGAAAACCATTTATTGCTTACAAGTAGTCATCCACTTCTCACCTGTGTCTCTCATGACCCAGTTGCAAAAGGGGACCCCACCCAACCTCTCCGGTCCAGATATGCCCTTGCTCTTCCTTGTAATTAGCTATTGATATGAAGATGGCCTACTTTTCTCCACCTCTTGGAAATACCTATTGATACAGAGATGCACTAAGCCCAGGTGAAAGATTCTGGAAATATTTCAATTTTACCCACAATGGGTTAAGATAGTTGAGATGGCTTGTATGGGGGGGAAATAAAACAACCCATCCACTGGTAGCATACTCTAGAAAGCAAAACCCAGGAATATGGCATGAGAAATGGAAAGGACTTCAGATGTGCAGTGTGCACAGTGTCTTGTTTATGAGTTAGTTGATCATATAAAATACAGTCCTGTTAGGCAGAAAGACAGACATGAGCAGGATGAAAAGATGGGGGACCCACCAAGACCTCAGGGAGTTAATCAGATAAAGCCAGAGAGCCAGAGATAAGTCAGAGAGTTAATTAAATGAAGCCACAGGGACAAAGAGTGACTTGAAGGACACAGACACTCTCCAGATTAAAAAAAAAACCTCAGAGTACAGGCACTCCTCAGATAAAAATGTCAGAGTGCAGCCCATGTCTTCAATCCTCCAATCAGATAAAGCCCCCAAGGCCAAAAAACATCAATCAAGGATTTCTTTGCTCTGTCAAAAACCCCATAAAAGAAGCTTTGCAGTAAGCAGCCTGCCTTTGTCTACCTTGATTCTGGCCCACTCGTCTCTTGGAATGTATTCAAATAAAACTTTCATTCTGCTTCACTACTGTGTCTCTGCCTTTCAGTTCTTTGTTGTGGCATGGATAAGAACCAAGGAGAATGAGCTCAACCTATAACCGTTTCATGTACTTTGATCTCAAATCCTCAAGAAAAAACATTTTCAAGCTACTCAAATGTTCATGCAAACTGTAAATGAAGCAAGCAAGAAGACAATAGCATTTCTGGAAGAGAAAGAACTAATTATCAATTAATCTGGATTTGGGAAGGAGGAGATAGTGTTAAATTTTATATTCCTCTCTCAACTGGGCAATACTGACAGGTATGTAGGAGAGCAGATTCTGATAAGAATTTTCACCCTTTGCTGACTTCTGCCAGTTTTTCCAGGATCCCCTATGCAGGCTCTGGTATCTACCAGAATTTTCCCTTGGCTGTTTAAGGAAATAAATAGCAATTTACCAGAAACTCCCTCAGTTTCATCAACTCTGGGAGGGGGTCACATGGGGATGTTTGTAAGGCCATTAACTTGGCAAACTTTTGTTTAGTAGGGTCATGGTTGGGACAGCAATTCAATGAGGATCACTAGAATGAGTTCTCAAAGGAGGACAGAGAGGAGCAGTAGGAATTTAAATGTCTGTCTTATAGTCTTGTTTTAGGTACCTTTTTTCTCTTTAATTTTTCAGTAGCCTTTTGCAATGAATCAATGAAACACAGAAGTTTGAAACTTTTGGAGATTTCTGCATGATGATTAAATAGGAGTCTGTGGATAAAATGAGAATTTCTGTGGCCAGAATTCTCACCTGGCCATGGTTGGCTAGCTCACTGCACACCTGTGGGCAGTACATGGCCGTTGACTATATATAAAGAGCTCTGCCCAGTGCTTTGGGTGCAACACGGTGTCAGGGCTGCAAGGCTGCAGGAGAGCAGAGCAGAGGCTGGAGTGGTGGCAGCACTGAGGACAGAGGCCCAGAGGATGGTTGTGAGGACAGAGGGGCCCAGAGGATGGCTATGAAGACAGAGGGGCCCAGAGGCAAAGACTGGCTTGCTGCATGCAGATTCACTCTGAGTGAATGGGATTCTAGTGACTGACCTGTCACCTGGAAATAAAGTTGGGTATAACCCTTTCACCCCAAGAACGTTTTGCTGTCAATTTCTTTGGTCACACTGAATCCATAGTGAACTTGCTTGGGGCTGAAACCCATTGGCAAGACAATTAGTGTAGTTGGTAGGATTCATTGTTGACCAAGGAAAAAGACAGGCTGCCCTTATGGGAGGGGTACTTCAGCAGGCTACCCCTGTGAATGGAGAAACAGTGGATCATCCCAATGGATAAAATGAGAATTCCTGTGGCCAGGATTCTCACCTGGCCATGGTTGACTAGCTCACTGCACACCTGTGGGCAATACATGGCTGTTGATTCTATAAAAAGAGCTTCACCCAGCGCTCTGTGCACAACACAGTGGCAAGGCTGCAGGAAAGCAGAGCAGAGGCTGGAGTGGTGGCAGTGCTGAGGACAGAGGCCCAGGGATGGCTGTGCAGGATGACTGTTCAGAGAGGCTCGGAGGACGGCTGTGCAGGCAGAGGGGCCCAGAGGCAGAGACTGGCTTGCTGCCTGCAGACTTGCTCTGAGTGAATGGGATTCCAGTGATTGATCTGCCACCTGGAAATAAAGTTGGGTATAACCCTTTCACCCCAAAAACATTTTGCTGTTATTTTCTTTGGTCACACTGAATCCATAGTGAACTTGTCCAGGGCTGAAACCCATTGGCAAGACAGTCCCCCAATGGGTATGTGGTCTGAGGTGGCTTGCCTCCTAGAGGACTGGGCCCCACCCCAGGACTGGAGGCAAGTGGAGGTGACACCTGAGGCAGTAGGGGTGGCTCTTGGTATAGTAAGCAGATCCTTTGAGAAGCAGAGTGCCCGGGAGGCAGCGGGAACTGTGGGTTGGCTGCTTCTCACAGTATTAAAAAAGTCTACAGAGACCCAAGAAATGGCAGCATGACAACACAAGCAGCAAACTTCTGTGGATT